GGCTGCAAATATAGCACTTGTCTTTAGCAGAATAGAGGTTGAACTTGATGGACTCTTATATTCTAGAAATTTCTGCCCAGGATATTACCCATAGAATTAACAGATTCCTCTGATAAGCCATTTACGTACCTGATTTACACTTTATAATCAGTATTTGGTACCTTGGACTACAAAGGGGGGAGAGTGAACCCAAAGCAATATTTTCATTTTTATGTTGCTACTTACAATTAACAGTGAAAATAGTAAAATGTCATATGAAGCCCTGTTTAACATTAACTCAAAAGGGATAAACTCTACAAAATTAATTTGAGAGATTAAGTTAGTACTTAAGTGTGTTTACGCAAAGTAATATATTTAATATAGAGAAAGTTACCCAGAGACATTTTCCAAACATTCACAATTTTTTCTTTAAATTTCTAGTGAGAATATAGTGATATACTCTGTATATAGCAAATGTCTGATTTTCATATTTGCCCTTGAACTTTTTAGTATTGCCATGTTGGAATTTTTTTTTTTTTTTTTTTTTTTTTTTTCTCTTCTTGAACTACTTGGTACAGAATCCTGCCTTATTATACTGGCAAACAATACAGCGTTCAGGTTGTGCCTCACGTTTATTTTTGCTTTGGGGGGGGGGGGGAGCGGGGAGGGGGGGGAGGGGGGGGAGGGGGGGGGAGGCGGAGAGGGAGGGTGGGGGGAGGGGGGGGAAGGGGGGGGGGCGTGCGAAAGTATAGGCACGTGTCTTTGTAGCCAGAATAGAGGTTTCGAATTGATGGAGCCTTATATTCTAGGAAATTCTCTGGCCCAAGGGAGTATTACCGTCCATAGAGATGTCAAGAACAGTTTCCTCTGGATAAGCCGATTTACGTTACCTGATTTACGCTTTATAATCGCTATGTTGGGTAAGCCGGTTGTGGTGTACTAGGCAAAGGGGGGTAGGAGTGAACCGCAAAGCAATATTTGTCATTTTGTATTGCTAACTCTACAATTAACAGGTGAAATGAGTAAGGAATTAGGTCATGTATGAAAAGGCCCTGTTTAACAGTTAACTGAAAAGGGGATAGACACTCTACAAAATAATTTGAGAGAAGTTAAGTTAGTAGCGTTAAGTGTGTTTAAGGGCAGAAGGGATATAAAATGTAATATATGAGAGAAAGTACCGGCCAGAGACATTGTTCCAACGATTCACAATTTTTTCTTTAAATTTGAGTGAGAATATAAGTGAGTAGTACTCTGTATGACTAGCAAATGTCTGGATTTTCGATATTTGCCTTGGACTTGTTTAGTATTGCAGGCCAAGATGTTGGAATTGTTTTTTTTTTGTTTTTTTGTTTTTCGTGTGTATTTGTTGTTTATGTCTGTCTATATTGCAATAGTTA